GGCCGCCCGAAAGTAGTAAAAGCGCTTTTTATTTGCCAAGCGTAGGGCAGCGTTAACTCATTGCCTGGTAAATATATCCCGTGACCGATCATTGTACTGCCACAAAATCTTTTGTACAGTGTGAATTGTGCGAATCGATGAAACAATTTCACGAAACATTTAACTAATCGAGAACCTTTCTTCGTTATCAGACAATGAGTGAAACCTTGCATGGTGCCACGATGACTTTGTGACGCTTGATCGATGTTCCCTTTTACATCGGATCTTGATCGATTCTTGACAATTACGTGGAAGAATATCGAAAAGTTGGTAAAGGGTTTTATGCAACATTTTGTGTAGCGTTAGAATCGTTGTGATATGAATCGATTAGCACGAGTCACGATAGTAATTACTTACAAACGTATCATACCATCGGTTAACGTTTGATAGATAGAACATCGTTAAACACTACCAATACGTAGACGAAACATTTCGAAAGAAAATGTAGATTCCTTTAGCGTTTATCCTACCGAATTTCATATTTGGACCATCGACAAACGTAGATCGGTGTATAGAAATCTTTACCGAAGATAGATCGACGATCTTAGAACCGAAGACATTTTTGTCCGAGATATTTGTCGACAAGTACCGAATCTGCGATTTTGCCTCTGTTTTCGATTAAACCTTAGGCCAATTTCTATCTCAAGTTACAGTTGCCGACTTTGTAACACATCCAAGAAGATGATTAAAAGGAAAAAAAAAACAGAAAAAAGAAAAAGAAAAGATGACATAGCGCTCGTAAACGAGAAGTTTCAAGACTGGACATGCCATTTAAATTACAATGTATTTATACCGTTATAGGAGAATTCTGCAAAGGATTCACTAATTTTAGGCACTAGAAACGTAGGTCGATACGTGTTCTCTCGTAGAGACTGTTTAATGTACAAATTAACTGGATAAATAGTGCTTCGTAGCGAGCTCTCCGTCGCTTGAAAAATATACACGGGTTCGTCGAGAAACTTGGAATAATTTTCGCAACTTCGTCGCCGTTTTCGTTTAACAATTTTGCTTTTCAGGTTTCCCGGTTGTCGAATTTGCGTCGAATCGTTTACCTTCGAGTTTTGCCGTAGCCCAACCGTTTGCGTAACATTGATTTTATTTTTCGTTCAAACTGCGTATACGAAAGCGCGCTTTGTTCGTAGTCTTATAATCTGAAAGAGCGAATAGAGAAATAATTTATCAAAATACTTCAAAGACTACATGTGAATATACTTGTAAGGCTCAACGTGTTGTATTACAAGACGCAGATTTATACAAGTCTGTCGTGTTCTTCTTTTCAAACATATTCCTTGCCTGTCTCCTTTAAATACCCACAATGAGATATATAGGGTTTGTAAACAGAAATCCGATAGATTCCTAAAAAATTCATTTATTTAAAATTCACCGTCAAGTGAATCCTGGGCTCACAGAAGAGTCTTTGTACAAAGAGTTGTTTTTTTTTATACAAAATATGACATACCTATTTCCTAATATTTTTATGTATATATATACCTGGCTGAGAAAAACGTTGTCGTCTTCCGTTACATCGAAATTCCAATTGGAAGACCAGCACAAAGTAAAAATGAAACGGGGCATGAAAAGGTATCTCCGGAGTTGCGCGAGCACGAATATCGGATCGATCAGTTCGCTCGTGTCGACGCATTTTCAATCCGTTGATATCGCCATGCTCGAGGAAACGTTCGTTCGAGCGATCGACCGATTCGTCTCGGTCTCTAACGAAATTAAGGTGACTGTACAGCCGCGCGTTTCAACGGGCATGGCACGAAGACACGGACTTCGAATCGAGACTATCGGTGCGCTATCGAGTCTATCTTTTGATTATAAGGCGTAATGGTCAATTTTTTCTTGTTTTTTCGCATGAGTATTATTTACACGATTGCTTAACGATTACGAGGCCCATTTCGGACTCCTCTATGTACAAACAAACGAGTATTATTTTAACTATCGATCGACCGACGATCGAAACGGCAAGTAACAGTCGTATATCTATGCTTAAAAAAATATCGCGCAATCGCCTCTTTTCCGCAGGTCATACGTTCTATACGTTAGGATCGTTGCGCGAGTACGAGAATACGGGATTATCTACAAACGTTCGTTTCGATTCTACAACTAGACGCGTAAAAGAGGCGTTCGTGACTATCACGGCGGAAATAAAAAAATGTGCACTTTGGCACCTTCGAGAATCTCGTCGAAGGTCAGTCAACTTAAAGTCTCTATTTTATACACACTGCGCTCATACTGTAATCACACGAAATCGGGTATACGCTAACGACGCTTTCAACGCGATAAACTCCGATTAAAACATTCTCTAAAATATAACTCGCAATTTTCGAATCGACGCTATCGAATATACGCGTTACCGGATCCAAGATATAACGGGACTAATACTAATATCTGACGCAACGCGACTATGATTTCGATATACCGTTAGATCCTTAATTCAGCGTCGGTAACTGGAATACCTCTATTGGCACTTTGACCGGACCTTTGAGTGGCAGGTGGCACCAAAGGACTGATACTAGGACTTCTGGTGGCGAGAGGAGATAAGGACGGAGAAAAACTCGGGCTAAGGGCCGCCGATGGGAAAGTGGAAGCATCGTGGCTGATCGGAGATCTTGGAAGAATGCCCCTGGCTAACGCGGGAGCCGCCAACGACCTAGGAGCAACGGAAGTGAGCAATGGCGGGGGCGGGGCTTTATGTACAGACTTGGTCTTGCCGCTGCTTCCTGAATTTCCGCTTTGAACGCTAGCAGCGTCGTCTTTCAGCCTGGCGATTTCGCTGAACACGTGAGCAAGTGGTTGATAATGAGGACCCCAATCCAGCAGATAGTCCCAATTGTACGATCCAGTCAGTTCCTCCTCGCTATGAACGATGGAACTTAGGGATCCGTTCATCGATGGACCTCCAGGAACTTCTAAACCCGACATCGGCCTTCCAGGTTCCCCGATTTTCCCATAAATCAAGGTGGCGATATCGGCTTCGGTGGCGGCCTCGTCCTCGAACAAGTGTAAGCTATCGAGAGGCAGCGCTTCAGGCGGTCTTCTCGGAGTACCAGCCGGAGGGTCGACGATGCCTAACCTGGCTAAATATTCCTGAGTATTGTGAACCGAGAGATCACTAGCCGAGTCTCCAGTCTGTTGGCCTTCGTTGATCATTCGAATCTCTTCGTCTTCTCCGTCGTCCTCGGCCGAGCCTCTGCCAGACGAGCCGGACTGGTCGCTGCCGGACAATTCCGAAGTCGCCTGTTGCTGCCCGGATTGACCAGAGGTACCATACGGTGGTATCTCATCGTACTTGGGGGGTGCAAATTGACAGGAAGCAGCACCGCTTCCACCATTGCCGTTCCCAGAGCCTCCGTTTCCTCCTGCACCCACCCCGGCAACGCTTCTAATCGGTATAGTATCGAAGGCGCTTGGATCCACGTAGCTATTGGACGCAGTGGCATTGCTCTCCCCGTTTAAACTCGGTTTCGTGCCCGGTTTCTTATGCCTTCGATTTCGAAGATGAAGGTAGAGGAAAATAGCACCAAAGACGATAACCAACAAAAGCAAAGCGATTAATAAACCTAACGCCCAATCGGCTAGGCCCCCAGTCGCTGCGACTGCCATGTTAGACCCAACATCGTTCGGGGTAGCCAAAGCTGTGGCGCCTCTAGCTTCGTTCACGTCGCTATCATCCGTCAAAGTGATTTCTACCACTGTCATGTTCGACAAAGAGCCCTGTCTACCGGAACTGGCACTGACCACTAACCTCGACGATTCCTCCACGTCCATATCAATGTGCACCAGCTTCTGCTTCACAATCAACGCGCCTGTGGTGCGATTCAGTTTGAAATAAGGGTGTTGCGAGGTCAGTTGATAAACGACTCGTCCGTCGGGACCTTTGTCTCGATCTGTTGCTGTTACATGACCGATCACCGTTCCAGGGATCACCTGAGCTCCGTTTTTAATACCGAATCTGTACATTCTTTCTGTGAATTGCGGGTAAAATTCATCCCTGGATTCGATCTCCACTCGGACTCTGACGGCTGCCGTTCGGCCACCTGTATCGGTTGCTCGTAGAGTGAACGCGTATCTGTTTCGCAGCTCATAATCAAAGACAGCGCGCGTCGTCACTGTGCCGGATTTTCCATCTACAGCGAACAATTTCCAGCTATCGTCGATATCGGAAAATCCGGTTGCCGCGGCAGATACTATGGAGTAGTTCAAAGATCCAAATATACCGCGATCCAAGTCCGACGCTCGCGCGGAAAACACGATCGTCCCGATCGGTTCGTTCTCTCCGACAAATTCCAGGTATTCAGAGACTGGGAACTTGGGTGAATTGTCGTTCACGTCTTCCAGGTGAATACGAAGCCTCGTCAAAGCGCACAGAGGAGAAACTGGATCGCTGTCGCACGCCATGACCACTAGATTGTGAATGTCTGGTTCGAGATCGCAGTCCAAGGTTGCGTTTACTTGAACAGCGCCGGTGGTTTTGTCCACGCGAAACAGACCACCGTCGTTACCGGAAGTAATTTCGTACGCTAAATTCGCAGCCACGCTGCCAGCCAGATCGTCGTCCTTGGCGCGCAACATGGCCACCGTGGTACCGCGTACTGCGTTCTCTTTGATCGATACTTGATGAAGATCCTCCAAGAAACGAGGGTAATTATCGTTCACATCTTCCACCGTAATGATTACCGTAACAGGTTCGTCTCCTACCAGCGACCCGGTCGTCATGTTTTCGTTCTTGGAGCCTAGTCGTAAAACGTATCTGAAAAATTCATAACCCTCGTTAGTGCCAAATTGGAATTCCTACGAAAACGTTAAAAATCGATCGTCCTTACTTGTCTTTCGTTTCTCTGTCGAGCGTTCTGGAGAGAATCAATTTGCCTCTGGATATTTCGAACGTTCCGCTATCATCGCCGGCAACGATGGCGCCGTCCAAAAGGTCCACGTCGGACAATCTCATCAAAGTGGTGCCCTTCAACGTATTTTCTTTCGCAGTGACCTTGTACTCTTTGCCGGGCAAGCTGCTCTTCAAGCTGCTCAATCGCACGACGACGGAACATATGGACGAGGCCGGTGGCTTACCGTAATCTTCCGCTACGATGGCCAACTCCACCTCTTTGGGCAAAGGTCTTGGTATCGCGGTACGATTAACCGTCAGAACGCCGGTTGCGGGATGCACTGAGAAACCTTTGGTAGCTTTCAGCAGATAATATCGTACTCGACTGTTGTCCTCTGTAAGGTCGTCGTCGGTCGCGTTTACCGTCAGAATTTCTTGCAAGTCCCCTCGTCCTTCTGCAACGACAAAAAAAGAATGACGAAAGTGAGAAAGAGAGAAGAGCTATCGATCGTAGGCAATCGTACGAAGTTTCCCTATATCGAGAGTACGATAAAGCGGAATGTAGATGAAAAAAGCTAAGTATTTGCACCGACGTATTGGGAATCGATCGTCGGTCGCTTCGGGAGAGTATACTTGAAAAAGCGCGCGGGACAAAGATCGAGGGATCATGGGCGCGAGGTCAAGTACCCTCTCCACCTCTTTTTGTTGGAGGTACCACGTCCTCGAGCAGCACCACCGCCACCACCAACTAAGTTCTTTCTTTTCTTGGTAAAGGAGGAGGATAAGCCGTCCTGACATCGGGCTGAACGGAAGTATGAAATAATAACCAGTTATATAAATCGCTCGGGCGAGCCGTGGGGCCAGCAGGATGGAGCAGCTCCGCAGCTACAAAAATCATTTCGATGCGTTTCAAATCGTCGGATAACTCGGCATTAATGTGCCAAGTTGCAACCTAAAGCGAAAAAGGAAGATAAAGAAGAAAGCTGGAATGAAACAGGAGAGAGAAAGAAAGGCGGAGAGGAGGGGAGGCTGAAATAAAACTTGGTGAACGCGCACCCCCTTGGGGATGTCCGAGGTGAGGAGGTAGGACGACCTCGGAGGAAAGGGAATTTGAACCGAGAAGTGACAGGTACTCTATAATTATTGCGAGACGCGTATGACCGTGGAGTATGCGTGTTCGCATCACGATTTGCAGTGGGACGAATTCTTATTACTGGCCGAGCTTCATTAATCCCACCTTCTTTTCGGAATATATCCTGCCTTCCCCGGACAGTTTAATACGATTTTGATAATCGCCAGATTAACCCGTCTTCCTCGTTCGTTTATCACGATATAAATGATCTGCGCACGATTCCTCCCTAGTGAGAGATCGGAAAGAGTGTCAGCGAGAAAATTAAACCTTGCTCGCCTATTCTCTGGAAATTCCGCGACAAAATAGCCCTACTGGAAGCGGCGTCATCGATCAATTGCGGAGAAGAGTATTTTTTAAAACGTCACTCTTGACTTTCCCACTCTATTTACGAATCTACGCGGCGAAGCCCGAGAGGAGACGAAAAGAGAGATGCAAATTCGCGAGGCAGTCACCATCGGAGCTCCCCCCTTTCAACTCTTTCCACGTCCACCTCCTGCCAATCCAGCCTCCCCTGTCACCCCTCTGCCGCCCACCCAAATGCACCATTAGGCGCGGGCCTATGTATTTTTAATAAGTTTCGAGAGTCTTCGAAGCCGGCGATCTCGGCCGGCGGTTGCAACGAAGGCGGCTTTTCGGCTGCCTCGCAAACGGTGTCCTCGCGTTTATTTATGTGCGAGGCGTTCGCAATTCTCCTCGTCTCCCTTCTGCTTCCTCTCCATCTCCCTTCCCCTCCCCCTTCGTCCCTTCTCCATGCCGTCTTTGCCATTCCTTTTCACCCGACCCCCTTTCTCCCTCTCTATTCTCTGCTCGCTGTGTGCTCCCTTCGGCGTTCGAGTAGCTAGCTTTTCATCGATCCTCTCCTTCATCCTTCCATTCTCCTTTCCTTTTCGTCGTTTTCGATGCTCGTCCCCCCTCGTCCGGCTTCTTCCGTTCTCTTCGCTTCTCTTTTCCGCGCTTTATCTTGGCGCGGTGTCAATTCGAGTTTGGAACACGGGCAACAAGACAACGTGTGTCTACTAAAAACCAGTTTTTAAACTCACGTTTATTTCGCGCCGAGAGACTTGCCTCGGGCCGTCGTCGTCCCCCTCGACATCTTTCTCTCCCTTTCCCTCGTTTCTTCGAGCCCCTTTCGCCGCTATTCCTTCGACGGAATATCGACCGAATAGGTTGCAACTCGTAGCTATGTACAGTTCACTGCGATCTCTTCTCCTTCAACGTTCACACGAGTCTACTAACTTCGCTTCGCAGGAAACTCTCCGACCAGGTTGGTACGGTATGTGGCAAACGATTCGCGGATTCGAAGAAAACGGCCACGAAAATTACTTACCAGGCAGCGTGGCGATGTAAGCGGATTGCTGGAACCGTGGAGCGTTGTCGTTGAGATCCATGACACGAACTATCAAGTCCGTGGTCGCCTCGTGAACACCGTCGCTGGCGATAACTTGCAAGCTGTATTCCGACCGTGTTTCGGCATCCAAACGTCTTCGGAGAACGACCTTGCCTCCGTATCTATCGATACTGAAAGGACCTGGACTGGTCACGTTACCAAATCGATAGCTCAGAGCCGGGGAACTGTCCACGTCGTTCGCCGTGATGGTGGTTAAGACGGTGCCAACAGCGGTACCTAACGCAAAACATCGCAAATGAAATTCAACTCGTTAGAATTTTACTGAAATTGGGAGGAAAATAGCGTTAAGTTCGTCGAGCGACACAGAACGTCCGCTCTTGATGAACCATTTAACTGGAACATCGAATGGCAGCCAGTTCATCGTGGTACAATGCCAGACTCCGTTGTTACTGATGAATGGCGTCGTTATACGGGCCAACCCGCTTCCCTTGATCTTTTTATTTTCGGCCAGAAGCCACTTTGTCACCGCCAGACGATCATGTGCGATACGTATACAGAGTATTATATATATATAGAGCGGTGTTGCAATCTCGGCCGAGCCAGACCGAGCTCTTCCGCGAAGTTAAAGACAGTTCGAGGGAGTCGCGTTTAAAATGCATTGAATCCTTACTTATCGGCTCTCTCTATCTCGCTGGTGCTAAGAAGAACGCTCGGCGAAGATTCGGTCTGCGGATCGTAGGCGATAATCTGCAGTTTGCCGTGAGCAAATTGTGAGAGAGATATCTCTACGAGCGGCCACTGGATATTAGAAATCGTACCACCAAACAAAAGTATCGTCGTTACTGTGAGGAACGATAACGTTTAAAATAGAATTTCGCGAAACGACAGAGTCTGGACAGAGATGAAGGACGAGCAGAGCGATACACGCGCCGATAAAGGAATTATTTTCCCATGAAGTGACGCGTCCGAATGACTCGGGGACTAGTTGGCACGCGGCAGCGTTCGCTCGTAAATTTCACGGGTGATCGTTAAAGTCGTGTAAATCGGTTTCGAGAGCGGCCACGGCCCTGAATGAACGCGTGGCTCGCACTGTACAAGCTCCGCGCCGCGCCATGCCGGTAGTGTTCCTCCGCCACGCCGCGCGTCATGCCACGGAAGTCGAAACAAAGATCTCTCTATCGGTGGATGTTCTCGTCCGCGTTTCCGTTTCTCTCTTCAAGCCCGCGATATTCCAAGAAACAGGCTGAGAGAGCAGGCAACCAGCACGTGGTAAAACTCGTTGCTCGCGAAATATATAAATTCACATCGGGTACTACTCGATCTCCGTAAGTTATATCGCGGTAATTCTGATTACCGGAGGTCCTCGGTATTCGCGGATTGGCTACGTAAATACGAATACGATGTCGGCGATGTGCTCCTTGTACGGAAAATGCGCTCGTCGGTGGTCTACCATTGTTTCGATTTCTCGTGTCAGTGCCACTTTCGGAACCGATACGATCGATGCTGTCGATTAAATCCTCCTTTGGATACACGTGTACGTGTGCAGCCGCGTACGTGTTCCCATCTAGCGGACGCGAAGGAAGGCCCTTCAGGAACAAAGGCGTGGGCTATCAAACATCGGCGAACCGCACCTCTCGTTTTAGGCTGAACGATAATTACATACGCCACGTTCACCGGGATAATTAAAAACAATTATCATGCGCTTCGCTAAAATATGAACGGACCCGACTACGAGATCGTTTTTTATCAGCGCGCGGTTCAATGAAGTAATCGTGTCCTCGATTTCATCGATTACTTTATGCCACGACCAAATTTTTCGCAATCGATCGCATCACAACGGGCGTAGAGACCTTCGTCGAGGCCTCCCACGTCATTGTCGAAGGGATACGTAGTCAAATCTTTGAGGTGATAATAAGCACGTAAAAAGGCTACCACGTTTCTGCATATTTAACACGTTACGCGATTGCGCTATTTAAATTCTATCGAATGCTGCATCCTCAATAGGGCTGCTATGTAGTAGTCTGGTTTACAGCGCGTTCAAGTTTTACGATGATACAAAGTAGATAGCGATCTCACGTTATTCCGTTCGCGTGAGAGCGCACGTTGTTTTGCGTTGAACCTTAAAAATATACAGTAAAAACCAAAAGAAAGACAGATAAGATAAGAAAAAACAACGAACAATCAAAAAGAATACAACAAAAACGTGGACGAAAGAAGAAAAGAAGAACAGGAGCAGGAGAAGGGGAAGTACTCCCATATACTAAGAGCGGAAGGATGAGAGGCACAAGAGAACGAAGTGAAGAATACGAAGCGCGTTTAAATCTCGCCGTCCGAAGACGGCAGAAAGCGCAGAGAAAAAGATATCGTACTGAACTATCAGAAAATTGTTCTACGTGTAGCTCTGATCAATTACTTTTACGTATCGCCTGTTCATCTATTTTTTACAGTCTATCGCCTTTCTTCATGTCATGTTTTTCAACATTTTGATCGTTACTCCAGCGAAAAAGCAGGTCTGCTCGAAAAGGTAGCAGCGCGAAGCCTGGTGTTTACGCGTTAAACTGGAGGCCACCTTCGCTCGGTGCCGTTTCATTGAATCGTATCTGTCAATGAGGAGCAATATGAAACGAATGTGAAGGACAAACAGCGTGGAACAACAGGAAGAACGAAGACCGCGAATTATTCAAACAGGCGTTCGCAGCCTCGCCTAAGTTATGCAGATTGTTCCGAACAGTTGGACTTTAATGCCGGCATAAATCCTTTCCCACTTAACTTTATACTTTGAGAGTAGTATGCACTCCTACCTCTGGTATTCGTGTCCCTTTCTTTTTTCCATTGCTCTTACTTTTCCCTTTCTTTGATCCCATCTCTTTTTCTCTTTCGTACACTTGCGTTCTCGAGCGTTTCGCCTCTCACAAGATACACTCGGCTTTGCCACGCGGAAACATCTCTTTCTACTTTCGACCAACCGATCTTTCAACAAAGTCGTTTAGAACTCGAGCGAATCGATGCTAACGAATTCCACGTAAAATAGGATAGTAAACGAATATGAAAATTCGATCGTTCTTTTCGAAGAGCGTCTGGTTCTGGAGTTATTGACCAACGCCGTGTTGGTCGTGAGGGAGCTAATTGCCGGCCGCAATTAAGCCGAAATTAAGAAGGTGTACGCGTATTCGTGTTTGCCCGTAATTTGTTTGCGCACGATCGCGACCAGATGAGACAAATAATCGGTGATTAACCTTCGCCTCGACCGTACACTGAGAAGAATAAACGCCATAATTGAACTATACGACCGGCATAATTAACTCAATGACATTTATATTCTATCTTTTGCTATCCTTCTGACCTTAATTTAGCGTCGTTAGTGATAATTAACGTGGCTTACCTTCGGAAACGGAGATGATACTGTGCTCTGGAAAAGTCGGTTGATTGTCGTTGATATCGATCACGCGGACGCTGAGAGCAGCCGTTCCGGTCAACTGAGGATTTCCTTGGTCCGTCGCGATTATCGTTAGTCTATATTTCTCTCGTATTTCACGATCGAGGACGATATTGGTTCGAACTATGCCGCTGTACGGTGGACTGATGGTGAACGCATTGTCCGGATTACCGTCGACGATATGATACAAGATTCTGCTGTTCATCCCTTGGTCCGCATCGCTGGCCGAAAGCTATGCAAACGAAACACGCGTATTATACGCCTCTGGCTTACAAGCTAGTGGAAACTTTAAATTATTGTTAACATATCGACGTTATATTTTTACCTTGACGACAAAGTCTCCTTTGACGTTGCCTTCCAGGACCGTTGCCGAGTACTGTGTTTGAGTGAAGATCGGTGGATTGTCGTTGACGTCGGACACTTTGACTACAACCTTCACGTATGCTTCCAAGGGATCGGGACCGCTGGTTCTAGCAGCTACAGCGAGCACATGCTGCGAACTTTCTCTAGGTTTCTCCTTGGATTGCTGTCCTTCCAGAGATCTACCCCATGAATTCGTTCGACTGTCATCGGTTTGTTCTTCCACAGGTTTCACCCTCATATCGGTCCACAATTCCGCGTCCAACCTAGAGGGATCATTCACGCGCAACAAGCCGGTATCTTCGTCGATAATGAACGTGCCAAAGTCGTTGCCCGATCCAAGGGAGTATGAAACGTGTTGCCTTCTACCGTCCGACCGAACGGCCGAGACTTGGACTACTTCGGTGCCAGCCGCAGAATTTTCCTGAATAACAACTTCGTACGACTCGTTTTGAAATTTCAACACTGGCGCCAAGTCGGCGAGATCCCCGACTTGCAGTTCGATCAATCCTCGAGTGCTTTTCGGTGGATTTCCTTTGTCCCTGGCCAGCACCTCCAAGTGATACGTCTTGCCGTTATCCTGCGACAGAGATAACGCCGCAGTAACGGCACCTGTACTTGGGTGTATCCTGAATTTAGGCTTCTCTTGCTCGTGCAGAAAGGAGTAGACCACTTCTCCATTGGGACCGTCGTCGGCGTCGGTCGCCACTACTCGCAGAATGTTCTTCTCTGGCTGAGTGCCGATCGACACGCGGGCACGAAAGGGATACTCGTCGAAGACAGGGGCATTATCATTGACGTCGCTCACTCGAATCTCGACCGGGATCGTGGTACTCCTGGCGTCGTACTTGCCGCTGTCCGTAGCTACCACCACGAAGTTGTAGGAAGTTTGGCGTTCGCGATCCAAGGGGCTGCGGAAAACAATCGGGCTAGAGACATTCGATGGATTGAACGAGTGGCGAAAATTCGCGATAATTATGGACAAAAGGGAAAGGAAGAATTTTTTGGCGGGACGGACAAGCCGGAAAGCTCGGTTACATTAGCGACTGGCGAAAATTACGTTCGGTTCAGAGCTCGTTTCCCCTGCGCATCAGATGCATCTTTAATTCTGATTTACCGGTCAATAGACGATTGTTCGAACCAGGAGAACGGGCCGGATTTAAGGCGGAAGGTGGCAGCGCAGCGTAGCGCGACGGCGGATAGCTTGTTTGTCTGACGGAAGCCTTAATCGTGCACAGCGATCTTGTGTAATCCACGTCCGCCATTACCATAACTCTGCGGATCCTCCATGGCGGCTCGCTGGTCGCCGTTTCGTGTCTTAAATCGCGCGAAAGCCGGGGAAGGTTGGCTGTTTTTTCGCCGTTGCCACTGAGCGAATTTAGCGTCCCCGTCCTCGTGAGCTATACGCCTCGAGAAATCGCTATATCGACTTAGGGCTCCAACTCTCTCCCTCCTTTTCCGGATTTCTACGCCTCCTCAACTGAATAGTTCAGCGCGTTTTTAAACATCTTTTTCCCTTTGGCCGGCACTTTAGCCGCTATCTAGAATTTACTCGCTAGGAGGTATTGCTCTCCTGCTTCGATACATCCGTGAAACCAAACAGCGCGACGTCTTTATCGCGCATGTTAATTCTAATCTAATTATACTATCGTGGCAAATTTTTCGCTCGACCCACGGCTCGAATGCATAATTTGTTCCCATTGAAAGTAACCGTTTAACGAGTAACATTCAATTGTCGGGTATTTTTTCTAGAATCCCGGTCAGATAGCAGCGATAAAGCGAGTCAGGGGTAATTTATCGTATCGCTGGACTTTGTCTTTATTAGCCGCTTGGAAAAGTCACGCGAACCTTGCGAATTCGCGGGCCGGCAATAAGCACCGGCTGAGCTCGACAATGTCTTTGCCGCGTATACACTGCCTGCTTCGTATGTGCACGTAATAACCTTTAACGAGCGTGGAATAATAATCGTGCGCCGGTAGCGCGCAAAATCGACGCGGTTATTTACGATTTAACCGAGCAGAGCCGAGAGTCGACTCTCGCTGCTGACCGTCGCACCGTGCGATTATACGAGCGCGGCTATTTTTATTTACACCGTCTAGATGCGAGATAATATTCTTCGAATCGCTTCTGTTTGAAAATCATCACCTCCGCTAGGATGATGTCGCATCGATGTTCACAGGATTCGTACCGCTATGGTTCGATTAATCGTCCGAGCGCAACGTTATCGATACCGAATCGTCGTTCCTATTCAAGTTAGTTATCAATCCCATCTCTTCCGGGTGGTCCTGGGAATGGACATGGGGAGAACTTTTATACACCTACTCGTAGCGAACCTCCGCGCTGCTAAACCCGCTCGGGCCATCGAGGTAACAGCAATAGCAACAATACCAACAACAACGCGATACAACCACGCGGTTGGTGACTACCGATTGGGAAGAGGAACGAGCGCCGGCAGCAGCCGCGGAGCGAACGACGGAGAAAGAAAGTTCGTCCGAACAAGTGGTGGGAGGAAAAAGGGACGGAGAAAGAGTCGCAGACAGAGATCGCGAAAGAGTGGCCCGACCGGGATCTGGTTTTGCATATCAGGCTTTTTGCCGGCTGAAATAATGCATTGAAATGCCACATGGTGCCCCGCTGAAATGACACACGGCTGTCGCGCGGCAAAAGTACGCTTCTGCGTGCCTCCTCCCGACTACCGACACCCTTCATCCTATAGATCTCCCTATTTCTCGGTTTGCTGCTTGTTTGTCTTTCCTTTTTTCTTCCTTCCTCGTTCTTTTTCTTTTTTGCCTTCCTCTTCTTCTACTCCTCCTTCTAATTTTTGTCTCTCTTCAACGATCCTACGTACTCGTCTGCGTCTCTATCGAAAACGGAACCAACACGGCCGATACCATTCGATGTCGTTTCGACGAACGAACTAACAAAAATATAGGAGCTTTCGTTTCGCTGGGGATTACGCGAGTAATAACGCGGCAAGATTCGAATGGTGACGAGATCGGAGTTCGTGAGACCCTCGGTGAAATTTAATCAACAGTGTTCGACCTTGATAGAACGGAAGCTACGGAAGGACTGGAGATTTAACGACGTCTCGCGATACGAGTTTATTGCGCGCATAATCGCAAAGGGCAGAAGGGCACAGAAGAGAAGGACGAGAAGGGAGATGCGGGCGAAGAAAGGAGACAGGAGAAGGAAGAACACGTTGATCCGTGCCGACGGGTTATGCATATGGAATCAACTAATCGACCACAGTGCATCGTTCGCGAGTCGCATCGACTGACTTTATAATTCTACAAGGTTCCTAGACCTTCCACCTCCTTCCATCTCTACCAACTTCTTGTCCGATGGTTTTTTTCATTTCTGTATTTTACCCGCTCCTCCCATGCGTCTACTCCTCGTTTTATGATGACAGTACCGACGTAATATCCCACCGGCGATCCTAATCTCACCCGCAATAAAGATTGCGCAGTAATTAACGCCAGGATGAAATTAGTTTGCTGGAAGAGCTCGCGAAAGAAAAAATTCAATGTGGGAGAAGGGACAAGACGTACGTAAAGAGACTAGGACGAGATCACCAAAAGCTCGGTGAGAACATTGTTCTCGGATAAAGACTGAGTGAAAAAAAAGTCTTCGTTCGATTGTGATAGTTAAAGATAGAGGACGTCGGTTACTCACCCAGCAGTTGTAATGACACCCGTTAGGTTGTCAACTCTGAATAGCCAGCTCGTTTCTTCGCCGATAGCGTAGGTGATTTTTCCATTCACTCCTTGATCAGGATCCGTCGCTCTCACGGACATGACGCTAGAATCTGGTGCCACATCCTCGGAAATAGTTGCCACGTACTTGCTAGGATAATAGTTTGTCGGGTAATTGGAAGACCCATACGAGAAGCCGTTGGACAAAGCGAATCCGGGATACTCGGAGCTTGGAACAGGCCCTCGAGGTCTCGATTCGGTATACTGATTCTGAACGAATGATGGAGCGTTGTCGTTCACGTCCAGCACGATTACGGTTAAGTTACATCGTGTCTCCAAGCTGGGCCGACCTTTGTCCTTGGCTGAAATCGTCAGGATGTACTTGGATACCGCTTCCCGATCTAGATTCGACATCGACAACATTCCGGTTATGGAGTCCAGGATGAACTTTGCGCCAATGTTACCACCTAAAAAGCCACCAGAACAATGAAGCTTGTATGTATGCATAGATGGACGAAGGGAAACAGTAGGTGGAACCTCGAAGCGTCTTACCTACGATACTATAATAAATTTCCCCATTTTTTCCCTCGTCGAGATCAGCCGCAGCGATCGTGTGAATCACGGAAGTCCCTTGGTTCTCGGGTACGGCGAGCGTGTAACAGGAACCTGGTCGAAATTCGGGGCTGTTGTCGTTTTCATCCATGACTAAAACTTCGAGCGTGCTAATATCCAACAATTTGCTGGACCTCGCTAAAATCGGAACGGAATAGTGGGACACTTCCTCGCGATTCAGAGGTCCACGCAGGGTCACTAGACCGTTCGGTGTAACGGAGAATTTGTCCGCGGCCAGATTGCTTGGAATACTGAAGCTGACGTTACCTGCGCAATCATATCAAAACCTTCGTCAACGTTCCAGTCGATATTTTCATCGATAGATATTCAACGCGTGGAATAAAATTAAGCTCTTTTTTTTGAAGTTACGGTCAACCGAAGCACGTTACAAGAAATTAGGACCACGCGACTGAGACTCGTTTCCTCGCAAGATCATTATCCTGTCGGGTCCTTTCCGAAAATCTGAAATTATTGGTCAGTTTGCATACGTAAATGTGTGCCTTTAAAGCGAAAGCGATCGAATCCCTTGGTCGGAGATCGACACGTAGCGCGAGGCGATAAGCTTCGTAAATTCCTGAAAATACACCAAGCAAATTCGATTCGCGAAATAGCTTTGTTCTTTCGATTACCGGACACGGATCGAAACCAGGAGTGAATGGGAAATAACAAGAGAGAAGAAGGAGATAAAAAGCAAAGGATCTTAGCCCCGTAGCAATTATACTCAACGCGTTACGACCGCGAAACTACGGATGCTTGCAGAATTTATACGAGAGAAAATCGAGATTTAGGCGGGCACGATCCGCGAAACGCGATCGGATAGGAAGAATATCGTTTCAAGGAATACCTACCGGTGGTCGCGTTTGGCCGTATACAAGGAAAACAATCAAAAGTGTGGTCGAGACGAAAGAATTTTACGACAAATCCGAGTACGGAATATTCCATTCGCGTGGTCATCGTTTTCACTCGAAGGAGTGACGTCTTCCGGTGGAAGCCAGAGTTTAATGCATTCGTTATTATACACAAATTCCGAAGGACGATGCGCATTAAACTACCGCGGCAATACTTTTAGCTAACATAGAACAAAGAGACGCACTAGCGATCGTTCGGTATTTCTCTCTCGTATCGTGAACGTGGCCAGAAGAGCATTTGGCCGGGTCTCGTGTGTATTCCGTATTCGTAGACGCAGCAGAACGGTAGTTACGGTGACGACACGCACACGCTCGTGCCGCACGTACGAGGGTGTCGGTGTTGGTTGGAACCGGTGATTTGCCTATGCGTACTGCGGCAAGCTGGCGGCACGATGATATACGCGGCCATTGTTTCGCCCTGTCCCCTTTCGTTCTTCCTTTTCATCCGCCCTCCCTGCTGCGATGCGGCGCGGTGGCTCGCTAGCGGTTCCGGACCCCTAACAGCAACCTCGTCCTTCGGGGTATCTCATAGGGACGCGGAACCCTTTGCAAGTTGTGCAGGGCGCGCTAATGCGCTCGTCTGATACACGGGCACCGGTCTAGATAAGCGCAAAACGAGCGATATACCATATTGTCGGTCGCACAGAATGTTTTGCTACGAGACCGAGAATACCTAGTAGATTTTCTGCGCACGCTTTTAGCGATCATTATGCTCGTGCTCTGTCTCATCTGCTTTACGGTCCGTTTTTCTATTCGAAAAGTGGGCGGCCGGAACTGAAGGTGGAGAAAAGGCAACGCGGAGGACTCAAGAGGAAAGCGGAGCACCAAGGAGCGCGGTCATCTAACGCACACCGTCGAACCTCTATCTACGAGAATGAAATTTTCTCATCGGCGGAATTCTCCGAGGAGCTTTTAACGTGGCGGCAAGCAACCATATTGTGGGAGAAGAGAGAATGGTGTGAGAGAGGGGGAGAGAGGGAGAGTATCGCGCAGACGTAGCACGCGGATGGAACGCACTTTCGAACAGGGGGGAGCCAGACCCAGAGTCGTTTCGCTGAATTTACTATAATGTCCGGTACCAGCCAGATTCGAGGCAATTATTCGTGGTATTTTCATAGCAGAGCTTTCCTATTAGCAGGAGTGGCCATTCGCAGCGGTTATATTCCTTTCTGGCAGTCCGACATGTAGGTGGCACATAACTGCGCAAACGCTGGCGCGCGGCGACAGCCAAACTCGAAAATCCGTGGAGCAGAACGTAGAAGAAGGGATGGAAAGAGATACGAGAGAAGAGAGGGCACAAGCCGGGACAAGATAGCAGAATGTAATTTCACCTTCTGCTGGTATAGGGAGCGCTAAATTGACAGCCCCTCCTGTTCCGTCGCACTTTATGCAGCGACGCACCACCGAAACAATAAGGACGCTCGCGGAACACCTAAAAGGATAGCCGCGCGAGAGCCCCATTTTTGGTCCTCTCGTGCATCCTTGTCGTACAACGGCGGTGTGTGCGTGTACGCGAAAGAGATCGATAAGTTTCGAGGCAGCCGAGTTCAGCTTTGTCCCTTCGCATTATCCTTGCAAGCGTTAACCGAATATACACGGTTCTATCTGATCATCTTTCGCGAATGATATACGAGCATCGGCGGATATTTATCAATAAACTGACCGGTTGTAAACCCAACGCGAGTTTTATTTCGCGTATTTAATGGGAATAAAATGGAATCGAGAATCGCGATCTTGACGATCCGCGCGCTCGCGGTTCGCCGGTCCACGATAACTCTTTGAGAGAGATCGCGGTGCACGCTTACCCTGATCGGCGATGATAGGACCGGCGACGTTTAGAACCGGTGCTCCGACCTGGAGGTCTTCTGAAATTCTAGCTACGGGGTTGGCGAGCAGTAGCCGAGGAGGTCCGTTGGTCTGTCCAGAAGCCAACGTCAGAATCAGCCTGAGAGTGGACTTGCGCGGTGGGGAACCGTGATCGTTCGCCGTAATCTCCAGCTCCGTCGACCTTACCATCGGCCTCTCCAGGCTCACTATACCAGATTCGTAACCCACCGAGAATCTCGCCTCCTCGTTCGCCGATGTAATCACATACGATACACGGCCATTGTCACCTGCGTCTTTATCCACGGCGACCACTCTCACGAGCATCGCCCCTGCAACGATGCCAATTTACGATAATGCTGCTTTGTAATTGAATCGCCCGTCTCTGCGCGTTAGCGCGGCAAACTGAAGCATCTCTACGTGTTTAAGATTCGATTAAACTCACTCGTTGCTCTTGCCTGAAAGAGCTAAATCGCATAGCAGAGAGTCACTCACCTGGTAAGAGGTCCGGCGTGACCGCGACTTTGGTCGATTCCGGGGCAACGAAAACCGGGTCGTTGTCGTTCTGGTCGAGCACGATGATCCTCGCGGTCACGGTCGAGGCTAGTTGCTCGCCGGGAGGAGCGCGATCGGACGCCTTCAGGATCAGCATGTACTCGGCTCTTTCCTCCCTGTCGAGAGGCCTAGCCAAGGTTAGAGCGCCGGTCAGCGAATCGACCGCAAAACTACCTCTCGATGGAAATTCGGCCACCAGACCGTATCTAAGATCGCCGTTCAAACCGCTGTCCAAATCGATGGCCGTCAAATTGTAGATGGTAGAACCGATCACCGCCTTCTCCGAGACTCGAACGGTTATCGGATCTTGCGGCCATCGGGGTGGATTGTCGTTTGCGTCTTCGATCACGATCTTCACCGAGACGGCGATGCTCTGAGGGTTGCCGATCGACGTGGTGTCCAATGCGCGAATCTCTAGGTGGTATTCACTAACGTTTTCGCGGTCGAGAGAATGAGCGACCACCAGCTGACCGGAGCTACGATCCACATCGAATGCTGGAAACTCGCTGATGGGTGTCAGGGAATCCAAAGTGAAAGCCACGCGGCCTGCTGGACCCGCTCCCGACACCGATCCCACTGCTTGTCCGATACTGGCGTCCTCGCGTACCTAAACGAATCGAGTTACGCGATTTTTTCCTAATTAGTAAGATCGTAAAAGCCGAAGCAATAGTTTGATTCCGATTTAAAGTGCCCCTTTAAAATTTATCCCTTTCCTCCGTAATTAACTTTTTACCGCTTTGCGAAAGAAGAGTTGTCGATGCCTGAACGCCTTCGAACGTGCGCGCGCGCCCATCCTACGAGATGCTTTATCAGCCACGATGCTCATAAATCGCGCGAAAAATCCGAATGAATCGACCAGTGAACGAAAGTTGCATAGCGGTGGCGACGAGGTCGATGATACTCACGTTAAAGGCAAGACTGCTGCTGGTGAAGGTCGGCCGGTTATCCGCCAGCGCTAAAACCTCGACTCTTAACGCGCGTATACCATGTCGCGGTGGTCGGCCTGCATCCGTCGCCTTTACGGACACCCGGTATACGTTCCGTTCCTCGTGATCGAGAACCGCCTTCGTTCTGATCATGCCGGTGATCGGATCAATGGTGAAAACGTTGTAACCATCCGAGTCTCGGTCTGTGGAGGTTAAGGTTAGTCATGAGAGTACGATAATCGACACTCGGTGAAAAACTCGCGTGATCTCGACAGTGAGAACGAATAACGTTAAAACACCATTAAGGAAATAGCAATATTACGGTTATTCAAACTCGTTAAGCATGTATCCGACTGGCTCGAAAGGGTCGAAACGACTCGTAAACGTTCTTGAGAAAATCGGATGGCAATCCTAACGAGAACGTATAAACACAACCCGTTCGAGTTCGTCTTTAAGACCGTGCATAATTGTCTTGGTAATTGGATAACTAATTTCTTCGAACGCGCTTTCTTCCTTTTCGTGGATCGAGACGAAATCGCTTCGATTCGATCCGTGTTTCTTCGGCTGTAACGCATTACCTTTCAAAATCGTGTAGGTTACGGACGCATTTTCGCCGAGATCCGTGTCCAACGCTCTAACCCTCGCTACTTCCGTTCCCGGTGGTTGTTCCTCCCTGACGCTCACCACGTCCCCTTGCGGATCCACGATTTCGGGCGAGTTGTCGTTCACGTCCAGTACGGTAACCTTCAATGGTACCCTGGCCGCTCTGGACGGGGTTCCTTGATCTCGTGCCTCGAGGACCAGCTCGTGCACTCCTTTCGTTTCCCGATCCAGCGGCTCTTTAGTCGTGATCTCGCCTGAAAATCACGAACGAAAAGATGAGTCGCGTTTCGTTCATTTTCTAGGATATCCGAGACGTTTCCCACTCGTATTTATTTCGATTCACCGCATCGACTCTTTAGATCGGTACGAGAATATGCTCGTGATACGGAGCGAGAGATCGCTCAAATGAGATGGAAATACCGTAAATATCTTGACATAGAATTCGTGTACGTACGTGGAACGGACGATCATCGATCGACATTGTGCGAGGAAATCGACCTTATCGATTTTCCTGGACAGGAACGATTAATTGGACAATCGCTGTTCATATGCTCGCTAAGAAACGTCCGTTCAACCCGAATTCCTCGGTCGCGCCTCGACACCGGCTATCATATTTCGTTTCCGTCCTCCTCTCGCATATTATAATTGCAATATGGATGCGTATACAGTCGCGCGTGTAACGAGCATCGTTGTAATTACGTATCTCGCGGTACAGACGGACCGCAAAAGTTACGAAGGGTAGGGAGGCTGAAGGAAGAGAAAAAGAAGAAGAAGAGGAAGAAGGAATGGGACGAGAAGGAGGAGGCGGAGATAGAAAGAAAGAAGGAACAGAAAGAAGAAACGTAAAAAGGAGAGAGGGAATCTTCTCGAGCTGTCTTTTCGACGGGTCAGCGCATTAATGGGTAATTAAGCAAACGCCTAGCCGGCCGAGCAAAACTATTCCAAGATGTGGAAAGGAATGGGGAAAACAATTCGTATAAGGGGTCGAAGGAAGGGCTTCGGTGTTCGTAGGACACACGAGACACCCGCGTGCCTCTACGAATTCTCGACGTACCTAGTCCAGTCCGACGCGTCCACCTCGTCTACCAGCGCCGACAGAACCCCGTCGACGTCGCCGTGCTCGTCGTTTAGAAGACAAACGATCGACGGAGGAACATGCAAACGAGCCGGCATCGAGGGATACCATCGCGGAACAATAAGAAGTATATCGTAGGACGCGTGCTAATGCGTTTCTCGTGTTAACCGTGGGACCGTGCGACGAACTTCTTTGCCCCCTTCAGGAACCGGCTCTCTTTCCGTTCCCGCGCGTTTCTTCCAATATTTGGAAATCCATGCTCTTCCGAGACTGCGTTAGGGAAACTCGTTCCGCGCCGCCACGATCAATAAGAGATTTCTTAGAAGCTGTGGAACATATACCCAAACTGGCCAACCGACCAACCGCTCCACGATTTCCCGCGTTTCACCGCTATTTAGTTTTCCGCTAATTTCTCGCATAACTATCGGTGACAACGCGTGCAAGTCGAGTAGAACCTTCCGAAATCAAAGATTAATATACAAGTACCGCTGCGACGGAACAACTGGATACTTCCGGCAGAGAGAGGCAACGGTTATTTTTATTTCTCTGTAGCGAAGGTTCGCACTGGAATGACTGGAGAAGAGACCCTCCTCTGCAAACAGGCAGGCCGGTGCACCAACCAGCGAGACTTCTCGTGGATACGAGAGGAAGACCGACCTGGTCTCGAACCAGCATGTACACAAATACTCTCGTGTCGCATGCCAATCAAAGCACGTATGCGCGTAGCATACGAGAGGCAACGTGCGTGCTCGTTTCGCGGTGTGTGCTGAACCCTTTCTGGTGATTCGTTACACGCCGGTAAGGTGAAAGCACCACTCTTACGGGATTATACTTTGATATCCACGAAGCAGGGGAGATGTTACAAAAACGAAATAATCGCGCCACTGTTCGTATCTCCGATATTGCGTTGTATGGTCTTCCAATTAAAGGCATTCGTATCAAAAATAAATTTACGCTCCTTCGCTTCTTTTTCTTCGACTTCGACCGCTATAAATCTTGAACGCGCGCCAAAGCCGAGAGACGCGCGTCCACCAGAACGAACGACAGAGCTTTGGATCGACGGAGGAACATGCAAACGAGCCGGCATCGAGGGATACCATCGCGGAACAATAAGAAGTATATCGTAGGACGCGTGCTAATGCGTTTCTCGTGTTAACCGTGGGACCGTGCGACGAACTTCTTTGCCCCCTTCAGGAACCGGCTCTCTTTCCGTTCCCGCGCGTTTCTTCCAATATTTGGAAATCCATGCTCTTCCGAGACTGCGTTAGGGAAACTCGTTCCGCGCCGCCACGATCAATAAGAGATTTCTTAGAAGCTGTGGAACATATACCCAAACTGGCCAACCGACCAACCGCTCCACGATTTCCCGCGTTTCACCGCTATTTAGTTTTCCGCTAATTTCTCGCATAACTATCGGTGACAACGCGTGCAAGTCGAGTAGAACCTTCCGAAATCAAAGATTAATATACAAGTACCGCTGCGACGGAACAACTGGATACTTCCGGCAGAGAGAGGCAACGGTTATTTTTATTTCTCTGTAGCGAAGGTTCGCACTGGAATGACTGGAGAAGAGACCCTCCTCTGCAAACAGGCAGGCCGGTGCACCAACCAGCGAGACTTCTCGTGGATACGAGAGGAAGACCGACCTGGTCTCGAACCAGCATGTACACAAATACTCTCGTGTCGCATGCCAATCAAAGCACGTATGCGCGTAGCATACGAGAGGCAACGTGCGTGCTCGTTTCGCGGTGTGTGCTGAACCCTTTCTGGTGATTCGTTACACGCCGGTAAGGTGAAAGCACCACTCTTACGGGATTATACTTTGATATCCACGAAGCAGGGGAGATGTTACAAAAACGAAATAATCGCGCCACTGTTCGTATCTCCGATATTGCGTTGTATGGTCTTCCAATTAAAGGCATTCGTATCAAAAATAAATTTACGCTCCTTCGCTTCTTTTTCTTCGACTTCGACCGCTATAAATCTTGAACGCGCGCCAAAGCCGAGAGACGCGCGTCCACCAGAACGAACGACAGAGCTTTGTGCGCACCGTGGAAGCCGATTTCATTAAGCGTTTTCGAGGACTTACGAAACCCGCGTCTGAAGATCTATCGTGTCGTTTCTGTCTGGTGCTTCTAAAGGCTTGCACAATCGTGCAGGGTATCGCTGTTTAACAATGGTACGCAACATCACCAGAACCGTTCCCGAGTTGACGTAAGAGCAACGCGTAAATTAACAGCGTCGATGGCCGAGGGCTATTTAGTAAATTAATCGCTTCTTTCTTCCTTTTCTTCACGCCTTGCTCAACGCCCGGTTCGAATTCAATTCGAATACGCTTCGTTCCTTTCTTTCCGTGCTAGAAAGCTAGAGACGTAACGCGATCGCGTAAATTCCTTTCCAACATGTGTGTCACTATAAAAAAGGAACATCGAGCTGTAAATGTGTTCGATATCGTACCGAACTGCGTTCGATATCATGGTATGTTAATTATATCGGAAATTCGGACAGTATATAGAATTCGTTGATATTTTCCTGGACAGTTCTAGTCGTGTGGGATTTTTTTGTTTGAACGTTCAAGCGCTCATAACTGTATCAGCTGTATCATAGTCGGCTGACAGCTTTCGCAAACACTCGAGCGTCGACGAGAAACAAGTAAGTACGCGCACACCGGATTAATATCGGTTATGCAAACAGAGGAAAAAAGTCAGAAAGGAGAAAAAGATCTTACCTGTATCAGGATCGACGGTGAAACTGCTGTTGGCCTGGACCACCGCGTATCTGAGCAGGGCGTTTTTCCCAAGATCGGAATCAGAAGCACTCACGGATCCGACCAGCGTACCCGAGGGTAGATTCTCCAACAGGTCGAATCCGTAAAAATCCTTCTCGAATCGGGGATCGTTGTCGTTGTCGTCGAGCACCGTGACCAGCACGGAAGCGCTCGCGGTCGCGGCCGGAGAACCGTTGTCGGTCGCGAGAACCGTCAGCGCGTGCCGATCCAGGGTCTCGCGATCGAGAATCTGCGCGAGGTAAATCCAACCGGTATTAGGACTGATCCGGAAGGCCGTTGATCCTTGAAGACGGTAACTCAGCCTCGCATTATTGCCCGTATCAAGGTCCACCGCGGTCACTTGAAGAATCTGTGTAGAGGATAGGAACAAGTTTGTTTTACGAGCGTGTTTTTAGGTAGGTCGATACAACGGAAAAACGAGTACGACAATTACGATACTTCCTCGGCCTCGCAAAGAGGGAGAAATCTGAATTTCTGCGATGTAAACGTTTCTCGAGGAGACGAAAAAAAGCCGATGAGATCGATGAAAAAGAAGGCAGCGGCGGTGAGGTGGCACGCAGGGAGAAAGAGGCGGCGAGGAGACAAGACCAGTCGATCCGGTCGTTCCGTATTAATTAAACGCACCCAAAGTCCGCGAACCCTAAATGCGTTCGAACCGGTCGATGTTTTCCAGTGCGGGAGGATCGTGAATTACGGAGGTCGGAGAAGAAGAAGAAACATAGGATCGAGGGTATATAACTTGGTATCCCGTGCACGAAGCTGGCGCACGGGCAATGATGGATGGCGAACCACAAGGAAGAAAAGGCGACGAGCGCGAAGGGCGGAGGGACGAGGACGAGGATAGAAAGGATCGGCACTCGTCTTCTCATCTGTGAAGGAAGAAGGACGAAACGGTGGCGGCGGCGGCGGCAGCAGCGGCACAGAGGGAGGAAGAGTAGAGATCGACCACCATTAGAAGGAGAACCTGACGTGGGAGCAGGCAGTAATGTGTCTAACTGTACGTTATTAGTTCGCGGCGGGTGAAGGGTTACCCTCACTGTAAGCCAAGTTACTCTTGCTAGCTGCTGCTTCCCCCTACTATCTCCCCGAGTTTCTTTCTCTGCTCGTCTCTCTCCTGGTCGCGGCTAAGATATTGTCTGGATACCACCGACAGCTCACAGATCTGTTTCGCCGATAGATACCACCGATATATACGTGTACGCCGCGCCGAGAAAAGATGGAACGAGAGATCGAGTGGCGAAGGAAGAAGGAAAGAGGAAGAGAGGAACGTGCGCGCTGTTCACCTCGTCGTCGTCGTCGTCGTCGTTTCCGTTCTATCGTACCCTCGTGTATCCGTTGTATTAAAAATGTGACGTCATTTAACGGGCCTATCTTGCGGCAACGATCTCTCGGCCATTCGTCATCGGTATCCTTGTATTCGGGATTGCGTCCACCAGTGGCTACCACCGTACCGCAAGGAATCGCGCTGTTCGTCTCTCGTTCCACCGCTAGATATCGCTACTCCAATGACGAACATGTTCTCGTGTACGCAACAGCTAATGACTCTTTCCCGATTGCTTTCTACTTCATCTTTAACCTTGTATTTAGAGCAAGACCGTCGTGGTCGCGCGTCGTGCCACGCAACGCAACGAAATAAGATGCTATCTGTCAACCACTGATCGAACAATTAGACAAACCTTTCTTCTCGAAGACGACAGAGATAACTGCGACGACCACGACATAAAACGAGTCTACCCGAAATAAATAGTCGTATCCGTGAGCACGAGGTTCGACGTCTCCATGAGAGTCAGACACCAGCAAGGAAAGATTTCACGGAATGGAGAAGAATTTCGTTCCAACTTCGTCGGTAATGGTGTTTAACCACGATAAATAATCCTTTCAAGCGGGATAATCAGCATGGGTTGTTCATAAAACGAGCAGCTGTGCGCTGCGTTTCTGTTAAGCCTATCAACGATTACCTATCAATCCCGTGTATTCCGTACTACTCCGTAAAGGGTCGCGATACACCATACCACATGCGCACAGCGTATACGTGTTAGCGCGTATGCGCGTTCCTATAAATAACTATCAGTTATAGTCTATCAATCCTTCCACTGAACTGGTCTATCTAGTAACCTTATAGTTCGCATCACTAATCTTTCGCGCGCTCCGGCGTTCAGCTAATTCGTTTCTGTTTTCCGCTGACAAGGTGAACTCGATGAGTCAACGTCTTCTTCTTCCACTCTATTCGCCGTATCTAATCGAAGAAGACCGAAAAATAGAGAAGGAGGAGGACAAAAGGTAGAGGAGGAGATGATCATCGATCCGAGTGGGTGTTAAGGTTCAGCATGATTGGTCTTCCCGGTTGTCCCGCCGGATGAAGTTACGCTTGGCGAAAACGAATTTGAAAAACAAAAAGAGTGCGAGGAACAAGAATGCGGAGGAACACTGGAGAAAGGTTGTTAATCCCTCTCGCTCCTCTACCGACCCAGAATTTCTCTCTCCCACTCTTCTAGTCTTTCTTCGTTCTGTACACATTTCCATGTACACTTTGCGATGCGCTCCCTCGCTCCCTTCCGCGAAAGGGGATCCTACCGCACGTCTCCTCGACAAACAAATGCCCGCGTGACGGGCGTGTAATGAAGATTTTTCTCACTTGAGAATCGAGCTTGGCGCCTTCGGGAACCTCCACATGATACTCGTTCCTCTCGAACACTGGGGGGTTGTCATTCACGTCCTGTACCTCGACGCTCAGGCTGAGATTCGCGGAGAGACCCGCACCATCCAACGCTCTTATCAGAAGACCGTGCCTTTGCTGTGTCTCGTAGTCCAATCTCCTTGCTAAATAGAGTTCTCCCGAGCGGCCGTCTATTCCAAAGAGGTCGTTGCTATTCTGGCCAAGGACGTAGCGTATAGGGTGAGACGGAACGATGTCGGGATCGGTGGCATGTGCTACGTAAAGCGCCGAATGAAGGGGATGCGATTCCGGAACGGAAATGCGGACGCTGCTCGTCGGGAACGTCGGAGCGTTGTCGTTCACATCCTCCACGTTCAATTCCACCTGTGTGACGAGAAACAATGCGACGGCGTTGCGATCAGATTGCTACCTTGGCTCGTGTATGTATCGCGATTTCTCTCGTGATTGTTTCGATTTCTATCGACGCCGGTTACCTGACAGTAGCCTGCGGAAATTCCATTGCGCGCCTCTACGCTGAGAATGTACTTGTCCCGAGTTTCTCGGTCCAGTGGAAGGCGAATCCGAATCATGCCCGTGTTGGAATCCATCATTAGATCCGGTTCTTCCTTCACCAAATAAAATCTGGTTGGCCGTTCACCTGCGAACACAGTTATTATCGTTGTTAAATGGCTACAAAGTGGCTTTTTCTTATACTTTTCTTTTAAGTAACGATCGTTTTAAGACCGAGCGTCGGAAGCTTGAATCTTTGAGAGGAGAAAGGGATGCGATGCAAACCTCGTATTAATTTTTTTTCCTCGACCTTAGCGAACGAAGAATTCGTTGGTTCGTTGGTCTGTTTCTTTTAAAAAGGAACACGAAAAGAAAGGGCGGAAATGGTGGAGGGGGAAGACTGAAAGCGCAAAAATGACGAAAAGGTATTCGGATACTATATAAGCAAGCTGCTCGTTAATTACAACTTCGGCTTGTTCTCACGTGCGCATTTTGCTCCTTTCCTTTCTTGGGGTGCAAATTGTACGAAAATCTTGGCAATCACCACTCATACGTTGTTTCTGATACGTTCGCGATTCGTTGTTTCCAACGGTATGATCGATTGATTGAATCGAATGGCAGTAATTTCGCTAAACACCGTTCTATAAAATGCATCGCGCGTATACAGTACGCCTTATTCTTTAATGACCTTACCAATAATCGTGCGCACGCATACTCGCTATCACCAGAACATTTTCTCCTTGGCTGATTTCTACGGAAGTCAATTCAAGCGAATAGAAGTAAGAAATGACCAATGATCGATCATCTTTGATGAGACGAGGAAATATATATTCTTCAACGACTCGCTGTTTATCCCAAAACCTCGAAAGAGGAGAGTTATTCAAGGAAAATTTATAACACGTACATATGAAATCAATTAATTAATAGGGAAATCAAGCGATCATTACCGCTGGCAGACGATGAACGATCGGACGGCAGAGCAGAGCATGTTTCCTGCATAACCAGTGCCGATCCCTGTCCGCCCACGGTCAATGTGCCAAGAACCGTAGGGATGTTCCGCCGCCCCGCGGTATCCCACGTGGTATTGTTCTTGCGTTAGACTTCTAGACCGTCTTCGGTTTTGCTCGCGCTATCGACGCTATTGAATACGGTCGAGCGAACCGTTATCGCTTTGTCTCGCCAGTTACCTGGCGAATATCTTCGTGACATTTAGCCGAGCTCGATCGATCGATCCCCGCGATCCGATGTACTCGACGGACAGACGGTTTCCCTACCTTGACATCGAGATGCGGCTCGTATTCGTATAGCTTAGATACGACTCGAGAGTACACATAAGTTTTTTTTTTCACGAGATGCTCGTCGATAATTGCCCCGATCGATCGATCGCACTTCAATCCAAAACGGGAGTGGTACGGGTAAGCAGGAGTCCGGTACGTCTCTTCTAGATAGGTTTCGACAAACGCCTTGGATCTACCGCGTCGCGATCGTGTCTCCCATGGAACCGATCGAGTTTTTCCTCGGCAACTGTAGGAAAAACCTGGTAGACGGAGATGCGGAGTAAGCACCGCCTCCATGGGTTTACGTGGAAGGTAGCCGCGAGGGCTTCCATTTGCACGATATCCGGTAACATCGTCTTCGTCGTCGTCGTCGCCGCCATCGTATCGTATCGAGACTCGACGAGTCGAGCGACATAGGTTATACGGACTCTGCCTTAAAGATGGTACTCGGACGCGTACGTGGATGGCATAATTTATGGTTCGCTATTTATACCCATTCCATTTCGCTCCCTTCCTAATAGTTCTACGTCTCCTCGATAAATACGCGAAATCCACGGGAATGGAGAACGTCGCGCTATTATCCCACGCGACCCACTCGAGTAAAAAGTAAGTAAGTTGTTTCGCGTACAGTTTCGTCGTTTCAATCCGAATTCTAATAAGCGTGTTTGAGAGGTCGAGAGCTGAGACAAATGAAATTAATACACGGTTACCGGTATACGTATGCGCGTGACTATGTAATATTTCTCAGAGACACGCACACACGTTACGCTCGTAAGCAGTAAGCGGTCGTTCAATCGGTTGGCGTGCAACGAACCACACCGCAACCACGGATCGATATCGATCTGGAGAAAAAGTATACACATGTGCGCGCGAGCGCACGCCAGAACGCTCGGCCGAAACTTATGCTTACCGGCACCCGATAGCCGTGTTATTAAAATTGCTGCAAACTCGTCCTCGCGCATGTAAATGTATCTGGCGTACGTGCATGCTCGCTTCGAAGAATACCGACGCGAATTTGCGCGCGTAAATGTAAGCAGGTTTGTACGAAATTGTGTATCGTAAAGTGTAATTGTAAAATAGCGTATGGATGAGATCAGCGCTCGTACAAATACACGACGGAGGTCGCGTATTCGGCACCGACGCTGGTAGCGGAGAGACGTACACGCACATTTATATACCGTACCTACACTCTACACCCATCGGCATTCGGTACCTGTGTTATTAAACGTCCGCGTGATCTTTTTCCATCGAGTCTCGCTGCGAGAGGAGGATCCACCGATCACGTACTACTCTCCGTATATAATTACGATTTACTTCGCATCCCAATACGGCAGAATCATCCGCGTGTCCGAAGGGATCTCCGACACGATTTCGGACCACGTCCGAACCACTCGCATAATCGCCAGTGCGTTTTAAACGGCAATATAAACAAACGCGATCGTTTCATTCGCACCCATCTATTTATCGATAATCGTTAACTTATAATTGCGAGACCAACCCCGAAGGGACAGAGCGAAAATGAACCGATAAGAAGCGTTATCGCGATTTTACGCGACTCTCAAGTTATAACCATCCTGTGCGGGATCTACGTGAAAACCAAACCTGCTCCCTTCCTTCGATTATGAAATGAATAAATTGCAATCGGAGCGTGTCCGGTGGACGCAGTCGGTGGACGGGTTTTTCACCCGCGGTGCCGAGTCGAGAGGGCTTCGTCACCCCGGTTACACAGGCGTCCCTCCGGGGTGCCCACGTGGGTGTAACGAAGACAAATCGCTCGCGTATTTGATTAATTCGCGGAGATCGCTGGTCCAGCGCGGTGCATTCGAGCTCTCGTGGCCCACGTCTGCTCCTCCTTCTTCTCCCTCTCCTCTTGCACCATCGCTTTCATCTCTACCCTCTTCTCTCGTTTTCCGTGCCTCCTTTACCTGTCTTTCCTCTGTTCGCTCCTCTTCCAGCGTTCGTCTCCGCGCTTCATGGATAGAATCGAGAGCGAGTTTTTGCAGCGATACCCGAGCCAGTCAAGAAACCCGTAACGTACTCATTACTGATTCTCGCCCTTTCGCGTCCTCTCGGCCAGTTGTTGGTGCGTTGCGTCGCGTCGCTTCGCAT